TTGCAAATGAAGTCGTTAAAATCTCGTGCCACTTTCATTAAATTGTAGGGTATGTACGATAAAATACCGATCTCGTGTATACATAGTTAAGATCTTTGATCCATCGAGGATATTTGACAGTAATAGCCCGCGTTGTTCCGGAGTAATTAACACCAGGCTTTACGACTTTAACAAAGGCAAACGATGGAGAGTTTAATTATTAGTATAGAACGTATTCTGAGAGGTGTTATTGTCGATAATAATTAATAACCAGACTATATTGAACTCTACATTACCGATGGACTTGATAACATTAGGTGCTAATATCTTTTGTGAATATCACTTGTCCTTTACAGTAATTTCCAACACAACGAAAGGGAAGGAAGTCTTCAGTTGTGTTTATTAATTATTAAATATAATAATCAGCAGTTGAGAAACGTGACATTCCATGAAAATAACTGTGTATGAATCTAGGATTAATCAGTGGGACATCGTTCTGGCTTCCGTCTGAATTCCTGGCAAGGTAACGACCAAGAACCACTAATATACCTCACGATGGTACGAGACACGAGAGGAACACGTGCAGCTTGTACACACATATGTATACATATACGTGTAATGTGTAAGCAGGTTAGAGTACAGAAGAACCGGCGAAACTTCCGTCGCTCGGGGCGACGAGACGCCGCGCCGGGGCCAGAAAGTACAGGAATTCGATTCGGCGCGAGGGCATAAAAAGCCGTCGTCGATGGTATGCGGCGTAAGCGTAAATTGAGAAACGGATTGCATAGCGAGAAAAAAAAAAAGGAAAGCCGACGACACAGCTAAATTTAGTTGATCGTTCGAAATCCACCCGGACTATCTTAATTTCCGGGACGAAAATCGCACGGGACGCTGTTAATTGGCGTGACATTCCAATGTGTTCGCCAAACGGATCACACGATTAATTCCTAAATTTCCTTTTAGAAAGCTAAGAGATCCGCGCGTGGAACGTGAAGCAACAATACGATCTTTAGCAATATAAATCGGTGGAACAGAGAAGGCATCTAATTATACATATACGGACGGGTAATTAGATGATGCAGGATATCAGTCGCGTATCTTTTCCGCGAAGAAATCGTCTTTCCGCGTTCATCCACCGCGGCGGGGGGTCGAGGAACAACCTGTATTACTGCATCGTGTGCACGATCATTGTGCGTTAACACCCGTCTGCGTTTAACGGACAGGTGGACTATTTTAATTCGTTACGTAACAGATCCATACGAATCAATCGTCCTTAACCCTTCAACGCCCAGACCAAGAACAGTCCTATTTCAACATTTGAACTAGTGATGGACACCATCGACTAAATTAAACTATCGACTAATGATTATTTAGTCGCAACATACTATCGACTATTTAGTCGACTGAAATTTTACTTTATAGGTTATGTATAGATTATGTCATCAACTTTTCAGCACAATTGGTGTATTTACCTTTTGGAAATGTATTAGTTCATAGATAGAATTTCAAAAATATATGTGGTAAACAAGTTTTTTTAAACAATTACTAATATTCGATTTTCTGTAAGCTATTTAATATTGACACTTAAAAAATTAACTGCTATAAATTTTTTATAAAAATCAATTAGGTTATGAGCAATAATTTGTACAGTTCTTGGTAATGCATAAAAAAATATATGGGAAGATTACAATTCGTTTGCATCGCGAAGAAAATAATTAAGATCCAGTCAATAGCGATCAATAGCTCGATAGTTCGATCATTTCGCTTGAAGCGACCAAATTTAATCGACTAAAATAATCGCTTCAAGCAACTAAAGTAGTCGACGATTGAAAAAATTGTCGTTGGCTACTATCGACTTACTCGATAGTTTTTAGTCGATGGTGCCCATCACTAATTTGAACCGAAAGAACGCTCAATAATAAGAATATCGATATTAAACCAACCTATATTTTTAATATTCTTTTATTTCTTTTTAACCCTTTAACGCACAAGCACCTTTTCCGGGGGAAGAAAATTGTTTTTCGCGATTAGTTGACTCAAAAGTGGTCCCAATACGTGCACCTCATCTGTATTTACAAAAACCCCTGAAAATATAATTTTCTGGATGTGACGCAAATATACGTCATACTAGGCGTTAAAGGGTTAATAAAAGCCACAGATATTTGCCAATACCTACCGCCATTTATGTCAGAAATATTGTGGATTATACATTGCTGCTTTACCATAACATTTGAATCGCGTGGGTGTTTCGGGACTTGTACAGTATACATTGTCGTCGCATAAACGTTAAGAAGGTTAACGTACAAGCGTCCACTCGTACATTCTTGTCCCGTGTATCTACACACACACACACACACACACTCGTTATTATTATATCGTGTGTCTCGTGCATATACAAAGCCGCGCGTGTGGATGTCATTCTATTGTAAACGGAGTGCCACAGACACATACAGACAAGCGTGGTTCTATTCTCGTGCATTCCGAGCCATGCGGGTTACGCAGGGACCGCGTTTCCTGTGTACTCATGCCACCAGCCAAGTCTTTACGCGTACGCGAACGCGAGTGTACGTGGAAGCACACGCGTGCGTGATCCAATGGCCGTAAAGCTAGTGTTTATTGTCGGACCTACGTGACGAGTACCTATATGTAAACCCGATGTCATATTGCGCCGCGACTTTTGACAGAAATGAACTATGCTACCCGTGCATGGTGGCCACACCGTTGCACTTCCGTTCGCGCTGGGGCCATTGTGGCCATTTCCATGGGTATTTGTCGCTGGACGACTCCGGTTCGAACGTAATAATTTATTATATCACTCCACCATGTAACGTTAAGTAGAAATGAGCATCGTTTAATAAATTCAATACCAGCGTCGGATCAAGAACATTTTTCAACCAAGGGGGCTCTCGATAGTTTAATAGCCCTGGGCCACAAAAATCTTAATTCATGCCTGTGGAATACGCGATGGTGGTAGGTACTACATTTGATAAAAAAAGAAGTAGTGATTTAATCATGGGTACATCTAAGCGCCAGGATATAAACCGTAGGCTAATGAAAATAAGTATAAAGCCCTCTCAACACGTTACGTCACCGGTATGAGCAGACTGATCTGAACAAGTATTGACCAACAACATATCGACGTGCCGCGCAGGTGCCGGGACAAACGTGGGTGCCCAGGCGTCTCGTGGGTGGCTCGAAGGCTTGAAATCCAAGATTTTTATTCACCTTTCGCGATATATAAAGTTTTCGTCGGGTAAGATCGCGCGTCGCCCACAATAATCGCAAACGGTGAACAGCTGCGAGACACGACCAATGAAAACTTGGTTCCTTTCCCGTGTAGGACGACAGCGAGACACGGTTACGGCAACACGTGCAACAGACCGAGCCAGAGTTCTGTCCGCAAAACATTTGTTGCGCCTTAGAAGAAGAAACAACATTCTCGTGGTATAAACCGTGCAGCTCGACAGAAATCTTTCGTTAATAATTAAAAAGGAGTACATTGTAAACGTAACAGTAATCTGAAATTGTTGGAAATTACTTGAAGGGAATAAGGTTTCGTGATTGACTTATGTTAGTTACTCCCTCGAGATTGTAATAACAAACGCACCACATAATTCTACCCCCAGCGGCTTAACAACCCAATTACAATAAAAACCAAATAAGACCATAACTGCTTCGCCCAGCTGGGATGAGCACCAGAGGTCCCTCTGTAACATGGGCGATAGAATTTGTCATACACCGGGTGACATAATAAAGTATTTTTCAATATATGAATACTTATGATTTGGCACGTTTGTACTTCACAGTCACTCGATGTATGATGCTACACAAGGCGTAATGATGCTCAATTTATGTTCCTTAGAACTTAAGGTTTGTGTAGTTGGCAGAAAAATAGAAAATCGTTATTAGGAAAGGAGTCGTTGGGGAGAACATTTTGGGGGTGAAGAAAATGGCGACGCTCAGGGAGTTAATGTTTTCTGACCAATAAATACATTAGGGGAAAACCAACTATGCATGAGATGTTCCTAACAGATAATTCTTGTTCGCTGACTACCGTAGGTGTAAAACACAGGCGAGGTGTTGGAATTACATTTCATTATTATGCCGAACACGGTGCCCGTGAATGCATGGATGGTGCGCGAGACAAGGTCCTGCATCTTTACCTGCCGACGCGTCCATTCTTTCCATTCCCATCTCTATTTTAATGACGATAGCTTCATTTAGTGCACAACCGTCTAAATTATTTGGGTATTTTTCGAGGAACGACTATTTTTTACACACGCGCGCGCACCAGCGTACGGATGAATAAATTGTGTAAATTTCGTTTCCATTAGAACAATCAATTTGAGATCATGTAACTATTATGACACATGGTGAGATAATCAATCAGCTTCCACTTGCTTATCAATGTGACAGTTATGAAGATTTCCAAGATACAGAAGTGGGAATTATTCGCAATGCATACATTAGAATATCTTAATCTTTTCAATTTCAAAAAAGCGCGGGATAAGTACAAATTTGCTAAAATTACAGCGGCCAGAACTTTAATTTAATTCGCGAATTCCCACCAGATGGCGCCATATTAAAAGCTTTAGAATTAGTTCCAATTTCCGCTACTAGGTTGCTGCTTTAAATTTAGCAAAACCCCAATTGGCGCTTGTTAATTCATCAGTTACTGGAAATTTGGCCCTCTACAGCCCCGAGAGGATCAATTATCGAGCGTCTACTGTAATTCTATTCTTTGGATGGAATAATAAATGCCTGTTTGGTCGACAGTAGAAATCTAACTGGTTATTATGAGCTGGAGATACATACATGTACATACATGATATGAAATCGTGTACGTGGCGCCACACCGTGGTACAAGACGACAATGCCCGCTACGTTTGGATGACTTGTAGCAGGGGAAATGTCTCGCAGGCATCTGGCTTGACGAACCACGATGCGTGCGAGGTGCATGTGTGTGCGTATCGTGTGAATTTTCGCAGGTGGTGATTTTTGGTGCTGGACGAGAAACCGAGATTCGCCGGTGGACGTACGGTAGTCGAAAAGAGGAGACGCAAGTTCGAGGCGCCGTGGTCGCGGGGCGTATCCCAAAAATCGTGGGGGAAAACGGGCCTGATTCGGTCAAGCAAACTACGCGATACTCTGTGCGTCGTGTTTTGTCGCATTCCGTGAGAGAATCACGGGTGTGCGCGAAAAGCAGTGCAAGTGAGAACAAGTTGGAAGGTGAGGGCAACGTCAAGTTGAAGGGAGATCGATTTGACACGACAACCACCGAGCTGATTCAGCTTCGCGTACGATGTCGTATCGGTTTGTAACAATTGTTTACAGAACGACGGGAACCTGGATCTAAACGCGCCTCACGATCAGTATCCAAGTGACAAGCGCGGAATCTTTTTTATTAACGTTGATCGCCTCACTGTGAATCACTGCCAATGTGCAACTCGGCCGACGCTTCTTTCGTACAAAAGCTAGGTTATCTGCATATCGGAGATGAACCCAGTGACGCCGGCGGTGCAACGGGTATCGGCAGGGTCACAGGATCACGACCCGAGGCTCAAGTACCCGTGTCTAGGAACACCGTTAGCAGGAACGATGCTAGAGGGCCTGGTAGACCAGTCGGTGCTATCGAAAGTTTCATTGAAGGCAACTCTGAAAGCTGCAGACAACCAACGACAACTGATTATAAATTGTATGAGCGTGAAAATATTATAGCTGCATCGAGATTTGCTACACCAAAACCTGTGGAGCAGATAAGTGCTCAACAACAACAACAACAACAACAAAATCAAAGTCGTATAAGTCATCAGCAAGCACCGGTGTATGAGAATATTGATTATTATTCACAGCAGAGTCAACCTCATCCGCCGTATTATCATCCAGTGGAATCTAGAAAAAGTCCTAAGAGTAGCCCCAGGGGCTCCTTAGCAAGTGAATCTTATGAACCCACTTTTAGAAAAGCACAACCACAAGTGCCCACTGGAAATCGATATCAATCTGTGTCACCGGGAAAAGAGTTGCCTCCTTACGAAGCACCTCCAGTTTATGAAAATATTCAAGAGGTGCATTATCCAGAGAATCCACAAAATAAGCCAGGTCCTCAAGTTCCACCTAATTATTATCACCCTGCAACCATAAATGGTGGTGATTATGTTGTCATGACTGGAAAAGTGGGTCAAATACAAAATCAACGCGGTATGACACAAAGTTTATCTTATACACAACAGAGGAGTAGCAACATTCGTGGTCAAAGTTATGATGGCTCAAGCTTACAACGTTCTGTGGATTCTTCCACATCAAGGTACTTACAAGGATCTTCTTCTTCATTGGATCATCAGGCTGGCAGAAGTGCTTATGTTCCACCATCTGAATTACAAACACCAACCAGAAATTTCAGTTATAGTGCTGAACAACAACAACAACAACATTCTCCTAGATCTGGACTCCCTTACCATAGTGAATCTCCACCAATTCGTTTACCCCCAGAACCACATCACTATCGTGGTTCTTTGGACAGTACATTGAGTGGACAACATGGATTCAGGGCAACAAATCATATTGAAAGTGCACAACAGTCACAGTACCGTCAAGATAGTCCTCAAAATTATAAACCATACATGGAATCAAATACAAGAACTGCAAATCCAAACATATCTGGGGAGAATCAGGCCAGGAATTCACCAGTGTACGGTGTAAGGCAGGGAGAACAACCTGTTTGTAGAAATTCACCTTGTTATTCTCCCAGTAGAGTATTATCACCAAGTGAGAGAAACTATCACCATCAAGAACCTAGATCAGAATTTCCTGCCAGAAATTCCCCAATCTATTCTTCCAATAGATCAACAGAGCACATAAGACTAAGTAATCTTCAGAATGATAGAAACTTTATTCAGGATATACCTGATCCGTCTGAAATAAAAACATCACCAGTGTATTCACCCAGTCGTATTGATTCCTCCAGAATTATTGCTAACAGTAATAGTGTGAGGGGTTCTCCAAAAACGAGTCCAACTCTTAATCAAGTGTCATCTGATACAGTCGCACAGAATATGATTAATTCACCACGACATGTATCATCATCTTCCTCAAATAACACCATTGGAAGTCCTGTACGTGGTCAAGTACAAGCACCAGTGACGAGTGCTATAACTGCTGCTACTGAATCTGATTTAAATATCCATGGCCCTAGAATCACTAGTCTTCCTCCAGGGGTGACTAGTGGTGTGGCTGGTCCAGTGTTTTTGAATGCCGGCGTACCCGTGTTACAAAGGCCATCTGAACCAGAACCAGAAGAAAGGAAGTCAGTTAGTCCACCAATTAAACCTACAACAGGGAAGGGACTGCTGCCCTACAATGTTATACCGCCTAGACCTTCAGTAAGAAACTATTCTATGAGATACAAAAAAGCATTAACCCTTTCAAACCTCTAACCACAGTGTCTGCCCTCTTCTATGTTTGTTAAAGATATCTATAATGTAACGCTATACTCGTGTTAATTGGGTTAAGGGAACGCGTCGATGCTTTCGATTTGCCTTGGCCAAATGCCAATCGCTAAACCATTTGCATGCCGATTTCATATAAAATCGTGACTGTTTTTGCATGTATAAAATTGTACCGTTTCATGAGAACCTCTAGTTTATATTTTTTACAAACAATAGTTAATTTCATCGTACTGTTTTCATAAACGGAAAGCATGTTAGACTTTAATACGGAGTTACGAAAAGGTCTGCCTTGCTTTTCGCGTTTAAGCGATGATCTCACGAATGTCAACCACTATCGCTGATATTTTACATAACGAATGACCCATGTAACGATAAGATTAGCGGATATTCGAAGGAAAATATATTGCTCCAACGATCCGATAAACGTTCTCCTTCTTAATCCACGAGAAATTTCGAAAACCTTCGATTCGACGAAAAAAAGAATACACGTAAGATAACATTTCAGAATATCTTACAATTCGTGACGAGTTCTTTCTCCGAACTCGTCGCTGAATCACAGACTGTAAATTGTTCGCTCCTGACAACCCGCTGTATAGTTACCGCGCGATATTTTATTCATCAACCGTGCATGCCTTCACAAAAGCATGTAATACACGCTTCATGTATTTCCTCTTCTTCTATTAATGTGTGCCTTAATCACATGTGTACATAGTCCCATCACTTCTCTCTTTATGCGTTCCTGCGACAAAAATACCATTCCGATGCATGGCAATATTTGTGAATATTGATCACAACACGGGATGTGATTTATTTCTTCTAGGGACCCACCGAAGCGGAAAGAAAAATAGAAGAGTTGACAAGGCAACTGGAAGAGGAAATGGAGAAACAGGAAGAGGAAGGAGAATACTTCGGTATGGAGTAGTGGTTCATCGAGGAACTAACGAAGACATCCTAGTTGCTAATACGCAATAACTTCCGGTTGCACGTGTAGAACGTTCCTCGCTGATTCAGTGTTTACACAAGCCCTACTATCGTCCGCCTTCCCTGATTCTTGGTAATCTCTTTCGACAGATTGAAGTCCAATAATTACCAACGCGATTCCGTCGCTACTTAATTTCTGACACGATCCAATCTGTAATTTCAAATACTTCTGGTAGGAAATAAAAAAACGGCAGGGTACCGTGCCAATTCCCACGACATACAAGTTCCCGATAGACCGGTTTTGGAAAATGAAGTCGAGTTTCAGTGTGTCGCGCGAAACTTTTTAAAACGAGACGTTTCGTTGACATTCACTCTCGGCCCATTCGTTTCCACCTACGTGTCTTCGTATCTACGTGAAGCACTACAAGTGTGCCCGTCACATGCATTTGTTAGGCGCTCTCACACATTCGATATCAGTCCCTACGGTTCCAAGTCCGTGTTTCAGCACTGTAAAGTGGTATTCACATTGGACGCGCTATCAACATCGATTGTATTTTGTTGTCGTAGGTGCTAATATCCCGTCAACAGGAGAATAGAATCGTCAGCTTACAACAAATGTTAACAGCATCCGACTTTGATCCAAAAACTTCGCAGACTTATTTCATTTCTTTATTTAAATCGTTCCGTAAACTGCCGAATCCTAACATTTCACAATCATTCTGTAATTCGAATGGAGGAAGTATACGATGCAAATTATTCTGTATTGTCTTTATAAACTCGTTTGACCTTTTCAGGCAAAATTCGAATGTAATCTGACAAATGCAATAAGGAACTTTTACGATCATACGTATGGAACAGGAGCTTCAATCGAGCGCGTCGACGTCAGTCGATAAGTGGCCGGGCCGTTTAGACGAGCGTAGTGTTCCTCGTCGTTTTTTCCGTACGGGTTCTATTCTTCGTGCAACGTCCTGTACACAGCAAACAGCCGTGGCCAGGTCGTGCTTGCCACGGTAACTAATCTCGTTATAGATAGACCAGTCCGACTCGTTGGCGGCTTCTAGTTCGAACAGAACTGGCGTAGCGAAACCAAGTCGTTAAATCGAAACTATTTACAAGTGTCGCGATCAGCGGATGAAGGATAAGAGTATCCTTTGGAAGGGATGGCGGGGTCTGTGTTACCTGTAGATTGTTGTGAGTCCGTTATCACTGATTAATTTCCCCGATATTGCGATTCTGACAGTTATCGACCACGAAGAATGGAACGCGTTGTCCAATGTCGACGACGGTATTTTTAAACCCAACCAATAAAACTGTCACGGTTATACATTTGCAACTGGGATTGGCGGAAATTTTGCTTGTTGCTCAACAGTCTATTATGCCACACCGTTAATTATGTTATAATTATGAGGTGTACTTAAATACCTTTTTCTAGGTATTTGTCACACATGCGGTGAGAAAGTAACCGGAGCCGGCCAGGCCTGCCAAGCCATGGGCAATCTTTATCACACCAATTGCTTTATATGCTGTTCCTGTGGTAGAGCATTGCGTGGTAAAGCGTTCTACAATGTCCACGGGAGGGTTTACTGCGAGGAAGATTATTTGGTACGTAAGATAATAATTATGCGGATACATGAATGACAGAGCGACGTAGCTCACACAACGATGTTCTGTCTGTAGTACTCTGGCTTTCAACAAACGGCCGAGAAATGCGCAATCTGTGGACACCTGATTATGGAAATGGTAATTAGATGGAACATATTAGAATGGTTTCTGTCCAAACTGTAATTCAACTATGATAAATTCTTCTATAGATTTTACAAGCAATGGGAAAATCGTATCATCCAGGGTGCTTTAGGTGTTGTGTCTGTAACGAGTGCCTTGACGGTGTACCTTTCACAGTCGATGTGGACAATAAAATCTACTGTGTCAATGACTATCACAGAATGTTCGCGCCGAAATGTGCCTCTTGTGGCAAGGGGATCACTCCTGTCGAGGTGAACTACGTTGCCTTCAGATCGGCGATGCTATTTCCTAAACATGTTTTACAATTTTATTTTATATGATACAACTTTATGTATCGTACCGCCTTTTAGGGGACTGAGGAAACTGTGAGGGTTGTTTCGATGGACAAAGATTTTCATGTGGATTGCTACGTATGCGAAGATTGCGGTATGCAACTCACCGACGAACCGGACAAACGATGCTACCCACTCGACGGCAGGCTCATGTGTCGTGCGTGCCACATCCAACGCATATCCCACACGCAACCTAGGGCACCACAGCCAGTATCAGCTAGTTATCAATTTATGGGATAAGTTAAATGACTACTGCTTCGAACTATACGCGTGTCCGTATCTATCACCTGTCGAGTCACTGATCAAATCATCCATTACTAAGGTGAAAATACTTTACTTATCGATCCATGGTGATTGAAAAGAGGTTAGAATAGCATACCAAGACTGGCTATTTACAGAACCGAAATACTTACACTGCCCTTTGGGAACATTTAGATTATTCGGGTCTAATCAATATCGTAACCTATCGATGATCTATTTCACTTCGTTAGCAATATATGGTCGCATTCTGCGACAATTTTCCATTGACAGCTACTAATATACATAGGTAAGTGGTATATTTAATATATGTGGTCTTATTTATTTGTCCAAGGTACTGCACGTACTGCAGTGGTCTCATTAGGATGAGCGAGTTGCGTAGGCAACTGTGATATATTAGCATAATAACAACATTTCGTTAAGTAATAATTCCTTTATGTAGTTCTTGTATATAATATTTACATAATCATATTATTGTGACGTGTCCACTATGCTGAGGATCGACGATAGTACATGGATCTCAACAATCGAGACCTAAGATTTCTGGATACGTCCGATATCAAGACTTCTACGGTGGCACATAATGCCATACTTGATGTATCGCGTTTGCTAACAGTATTTATTACGACAATACATTATACACCGATCAGTTTGATCGAAAACTTACGCAATACTCTCGGGATTTATTGATATTGCTCAGGAATTTAACAAAATGATTTATAATCGTACGTATGTTCCAGCCGAAGCTCAAAATTTTAAGACTCCCATGCTCAGAAGAGTATAGGGTTAGGTTTGGTGCAGTATCATAACTAACGTTACAACGCACAATTTGTGCTGCCAAAAAATTTGCTATGTTTCAAGATTAATCAATATCTTTGCGTCTAGGTTTAAGCTGCGAGTATTGTAGATAAAAAGTACAATGTTATTTAAATGTATGCGCGGTATGTAAAAGAAAACGACCGTTAAATAAAGAAGAGTATACCTGCCAACGTTAATCACATATTGTTTCGTTGGTGACGAAGGGAAGATTAAATTAAGATCTTCGATGTAACTTTACAGTAGATTTTTATCATAACACAGTAGTATTACAGATTTATAAGAGGAAATGTACATTTATACGCACATTAGGTTTCGATTTATACGAAACTCGAAATCTAAAGTCCACATAAAAATTAATCAGCTTTGTCCCATACACCGCTACGTTTTTGGGGGTTCCGTATGTTGTTCGGCCTTAAATGTCGTTTTCTGTGCTCCCATTGTTTTATTTGATTCTGTTGTCTACAACATATCAAACAAAATTACATATGTTAGGTATATTACTTCATTAAATTTTAGATCTAAGGAAGTCTAATTGTAACAGAGAAATATTAAAGCAAAAATTTTTATTCTAGCAAAGTAACAGAAACCTACACAAAGCATCACACGCAGGCTATATCATGTATGCATGTAAGAAGAACAGGAGAACACAAATATTTCAGATAAGTATCAGTATTGTTACTTTTGATTTCTCTAATATTTATAAAGAGCACTTCATGAAGGCAGTACCTTAGGTGTAACTTGACGCTGTTTACCCCATGGTAAAGGTTTCACTAATCCCGATTTGCTTAGCTGTCTGATCGTCATTGTTGTGAGTCCTATGTGTTATACATCCATATCATTATTAGTACTCTGTTGAATTTTTTGAATTCAATAACATTAATTGTTGCTTCTATTTAATTACCTATAGTCACTGTATATCTTAAGGGTGTAAACATTTTATATAAGGCATATGTTAAAGCCCAGTTTCCTGCACGGGAGTTTTGTACCATATCTAAATACTTTTGACCAAAGTGCATGAATTCCATTATTTTTGCAATGTTTACACCACTGAAATAGTACATATAAAATAATGTGCTTTTGTAAATGCTCACGAAAATATGATATAATTCAATATTTGTGCTTACTTTTTAATTGTTACATAGAATATAGCTACCCAACCTACAGAAGTAATTATATGCACTGGCACTAAGACATGCCAATAATCCTTGGTCAACTGTTTCATCTTTGCAAATACTGATAGTTTTTTCTGTGGTTCTTGTGTATCATCTTTAGTACATTGCTTTGAGTCACAGTATCGTGTAACTGCAACACTACTTTTAGTAATATTATACCTTAGTGGCAGTTGATTTGTTGTAATACGATTGAAAATTGGAACAGAGTTACATGATAAGTTTCCATAACGCGGATATCTTTCTGAAAGTGATCAGGCAACGAAAATAACAACAATACTTACGCTAATGGCAAAAACATTGAGAAAATCGCGGTATGACCTACCGGGTAGTTTCAGCTTCCAACGTTTCGGATCAGTGCACCGCATAAAACGCACTGTTTCCAACAAATTTTTATTGATAAACATTGGCCCGAACCCTAAGGTACTGGTGAGTGTGGTACTGCGACCCAAAATCACTTCCATTTTCACAAACGACCGCTGTTATCCCTAACCAATAACTATCACCTTCAGTGGATTCGAAATGATCTACTACAATTCCAACACCGTAAAGAACTTACGTTTATACATGCACATGCGACTAGACTTACGGAACAATATTCGTGTATCAGCGGCGTTAGTACAAGCTGATGACTTTAAATATTACATAAACATATCCACAAAATCTCACGTTTTCAACATCGATTACTGTAAAAGTAAGTTTAGTAATAAAAAAAACAGTAACAACGCCATCTACAAGTTCAATTCTTCCAATGCATCCAATGAGCAATGAGCTATACACATAGAAACACATGTATACATAGCTGCACGACTTTTGGTAGAGCTTATGTGTGTGTAGGGTTGAATCGATAATCCCAAGGTATTGATACTTTTACTCATAACTACTTTTGTATGAAGGTATTGAAACAAAAGTATCGATACCTATTTGTATCGAATTATATTTTTCTAACCTTGATACCCAACACAAAAGTTGTTCTCTGTTGAGAGACAATAAAATACAATATCTCCGGGGGTTCCAAGACCGCACGTTTTCACCACACAGTGTCAATAGTGCCTCGTAGCCCTATGAACGTGGGACAGAAAAAAGCATTGGATGATAGGTCTATTCTATATCTAGTCGGTGGTCTATTCTATACCTAGTCGGTGGTACAGTGTACACGCATTATTCGTATTTACCGCGTTTATTCGCGGTACAACGTTTACGAATTTGAGTACGATTTTTCGAATCCATTTGTCCAAGACAAAGTGATAATGTTCCCACAAAGTTCTCAAAAAAAGTATTGGATATTCAGCGATGAAAATGACTTAACAGTGCTGAGGGAGAAAACAAATGCTGAATTTATTGAGAGACATGGTGAAAATATGACGGTAAGTTGGGTAGTTGTTTGTGGTAAGTTCTTATTTCTGTCATATATACTTAATTCCGAAGATGCTCGGTGTTTTGCATTATATCTTTGACATTACATCGTTATTCGTAACAACACTGAGTAATTGCCGATACATTTGTACAGTGCTTTACATTGTCACTTTTGTATGTTCTATTTTGATTCTATTTATAAAAATTTTCACAATAAGGAACAATTGTTAGTTCCTTGAGAACAATAATTGTAACATTGACTATATATTTTTAAAAGCCAGAGGAAAGGGAGGAACATTTTCTATCATCTACAGAGGAGCGTACATTACTTCGTTTTTATGAATTGCAATTGAGAGATTTCTGCCGTCGCTTTAGTCCTCCAATGCCAAGAGCTACCATAGCAACTGCATTGCATTATTTCAAACGATTCTACCTCAGAAACAGTGTCATGGACTATCATCCGAAAGAGATTTTAGTCACATGCGTTTACTTGGCCTGTAAAGTAATTATCATTTAATTTTCTTCACATGTTCTGTGCTAATACCTGTTTTTCATCAAGGGACCTATTTTAGGTAGAGGAGTTCAATGTTTCCATATATCAGTTTGTTGCTAACATTAAAGGTGACAGGGAAAAGGCATCTGATATTATACTTAATAATGAATTGCTTCTTATGCAACAATTGAATTACAATTTAACAGTACATAATCCATTCAGACCTGTAGAGGGACTAATGATAGATATCAAGGTACATAATGAAAGTGATGTTAGAGTTAATTTGATATTTACATAAATTCAATGCATGAACTTTTAGACTAGATATAATTCTTTGGAGAATCCAGAAAGGCTGAGGCCATACATAGATGAGTTTTTGGAAAGGGTTTTCTTGACTGATAGTGTCCTACTTTATGCTCCAAGCCAAGTGGCGTTAGCAGCTACACTACACGCAACATCTAGGGCTTCTGCTAATCTGGATAATTATGTGACTGATATTTTATTCTCCAAGGAGCACTTAGGCTGTATAATTGAAGCAGTAAGAAGTAAATATAACCTCACAGATAGCACTTAGGAATATTGTTAGAATATATTACACCCTGTACATAAAATGTGTATTATAGAAATAAGGTCTATGGCTAAATGCGTAGAACCTCCATCAAGGGATGTGGTAAGGGCGTTGGAAAAGAAATTAGAGAAATGTAGAAATCAGGAGAATAATCCTGACAGTGAAATGTAAGTATAGATAGATAGCTAATTCATGTTGGTATACTGTCCCAATAGAGGTATGGTAATTATGAATTTGCCTGGTCACTATACATTACACGATTATAGATATAAACAAAGGATGCAAGAAATGTTGGACGAAGAGGACCTGCAAGATAATGAAAAGTATGCCAAAATAATGCAAGATCAAGCAGCCAATGATGAGAAGATCTTAGGAGTGAGCAAAGTTTTGTCTCCATCTGCACTTTAATACATAAATACATCCTATTGTATAAACGAAAATATTGTAACATACTTCATTATTATTGTCGTTTTTGTACCCAAGTTCTATGTATATTTAATAAATAACTTATTAGTATATTTTTATAGTAGTATATAAGAAGAGAGTACAATGTTATCTATTAATACTATTATTTGGAGATAAAAATACATTTGTTCAGTTTTTCCACTAAAAACGGGCAGATTGTCGTTGAAAAAGTTATATAATCTGTAGGTACATTGTATCTCCTGAAAATAAATGCAAATAAAAAGATTCCTACCTTTTGTAGAATTTCCTTAAATCCTTAATATCATTTAACGATGAACCTTCAATCTTTATGGGTTTCAATTTACAAACATGATATGTTTTAATGACGCGACTTTCGAGACGTTTCAATTCCATCATTTACCCACATAGAAGAAAATCGTATAATTTCCAATTTTTGAAAACTCTTGATATAAATTACATTGTAATGCTATTACATTTAAACTGTTTAACAATATCTATCACACGCGATCCCAATTTTTGGGTGATTCAGCCACGCATTTCAATCACCGTTGGATACGTACACTCTTAGGTTTCATTTAATGCTACTCGCTTTTCCATTTACGAGTCCGAATGCCTAAAGTCTAATCTTTGGCTCAAATGATACGGCGGGTTATTTGCGGGTATGTTTTGAAAGATCGATGACTGTTGTCCCATCGACAAGTTACTTGGTAGCGGTTGTACGATAGGTAAAGCGGGTGGCAAAGGAACTGTCGCTAAATGCTGTGGAAAGATCGGTGTTCCTGGCTGTGGTTGTCCCGGATAATTGAAGAACCTTTACAGAATTGTCAATGTGTTAAATTCTTATAAAGAATACACGCACGCGCAAATGGAAAACGAACATTTACCACAAACGATCACCGACGAAAATTGGTCGAGGTGCTGGAATCCCCAAACTGGAATAATATTGTTGCGCCAACAACTCCACGTCGTTTGTGTACTTCCTCTTCCACTTTGTTCGTCTGTTTTGAAACCAAATTTTAATCTGTGAAAACAAAGAGTGCAATTTACTGACAAATACAATAACAGTGAAGTATTCGTGAGTAAAGAGAGAAACCTTGTTGAAAGAACGATTGTCCGTGTAATATAGCGATAATGCATAAAATATCAAAATAATAATCCCACTGTTTAGGAATCAAAAAATATTTGCTCCGGGTGAGGATCGAACTCACGACCTTAAGATTATGAGACTTACGCGCTGCCTACTGCGCTACCGAAGCGAGTGCAAAACTTCCTGCCAAAGCATCACAACAGTGGGAGCTGTGTAAACTAATGTTTTTCAGTTGTCCAGTAAGTATTAAACTATTCTACACTTCTATAACGAATCAGACAAAATCGTCAAGAATGTTATGAATACGAGGATACCCGAATTCAAATGCTTCGTATGGAAGTGGATGTGGAAGCCCAACTGTCTCTGAGAAAAAGGAAACACGTGAAGCGACGCGAGAAGAGGACAAAAAAACGATCTCAGTATTTTCTGATGGTAGACCGGATTCAGAGCACATCGGAGACGGTAATATATCCTAATTAAAAAATCGACGCCTCTTCGGTCCGACGCCTCGAAGTATCCGTCGTCCGGGACGTTTAGTTCTTGTGGCATGCTGGAACGTATACGTACGCGCACGAATCGGAGGAACACCGAAAAGAAGAAGGGGACTCCCGGAGCTGGCTCGTTAACTACGAGAAATATTGTGACAGTTATGTCGGCGGCACGACACGTCTCCTTCTTCCCTCTGATCCGTCGTCTGATCGTCCTCCCTTTTGCCGTGATCGCGAAGATAATTATCTGCCTCGTTCGGGAGGCACCACGCGATATTTCTACCGTTCTGACAATTACAGTCGCGCCCCGCAACATTGCTGGCCGGCACCAATTGCAACTGGTGCGGAACAAGAAATAACTGAACCGTTATCGTAAATTAATTAGTTTAAAGCGCAAACAACCCTCGCCAGTTCAGGATTACCCGCTACAAAGTGAATGGGAAGACTTATGTAATCGACTTAATCTATTCCTCAACTTTGTGCAGTTAACACGAAGATTACTTTAAATCTTCGTCCTTGAAAACTTTGCGTTTCTAGGTGCCAGGGGTAATATTAGAAACCGGCGAAAGCTGCGGAGCAAAGAGACGTTGTTGGTCGCTACACTGTCACCAACAAAAAGGATAGAATATCTTAAACAGAATTTCCTATTCGTACGAGGAACGATTAATTAAAGATTTCTGCGAAGGGAAGAGACGATCGTTTTAGTTATTTTATTATTGTCCCCTGTACGCGACGACGAAAGGGCGTATATGTATATGTATGTATAAGTGCTAATTGGTCCTAAAGGGCCAATCTTTCCCCATGGCGCCACGATCCGGCGCCTACACATATGGTGGCCTTCGGTGCCATAATTCAGGGGTCGGTTGATTTCGTCGACGGAACTCAGATGGGACAAGGAACTTAAACTATTTCAGGTGGCGAGGCCTACGGAAGTCGCGACGGACGTTATCGCGATTTATTGTACGCAGTGCGTCTTGTTCGAGGCGACTTCCGCGAAACGTGTTTCTCTTTAATCTTTACGGGTTCTTGCTTGGCTGTTCCGTTCTCATTATTGGGATGTACAGGGTGTGTTATGAAATTATCATGTCGAAATACTCAAGAGCCACAACCTCTATTGGAATGGTATTAAATTGTGAGTTTAAACAAACTTACAAAAATATCACATTACATATGTATGTGTCAAGTTTATAAAAAAATATTGTACAAGTAAGTGTACACCTATGTATACCTGAGTTTCGGTGAGTTTGAGATTCTTGCTCAGCTGCAATCTCTTCGCCACGCTCAGGTATTTGTTCCTCTCGAATTCCGCCTCCAACGATTTGATCTGAGCTGCGGTGAACGCAGTGCGTGGTCTCTTCTTCCTTTCGTCATCGCTAATCGCGCTAGCATTTTTTTCCTGACCGTCTCTATCCGCACCTGTCGTGGAGTTGGCACCGCTGCTACTGGTGCACGCTTCTGTAACCGCCGGTGTGGAGAAAACAGATAAGTCCTCGCCGTGCGTCCAGCCCCCAGAGGGGAAGGGAAACGATGATTAAACAACGTTTCGTTATCGTGTAATTATCAGATAATTGCGTGACACGGTCGCGTTACATTCGAGCGATTAAATGGATTGAAAGCATATCGTAATTAAACGAACTCCAATAATATGTGTCATCGCGGCGAATTAACATTAGAACTACCAAAACCATCAAAATGACCGATTGCAGAATTCTTATTTTACGATTACTGAAATTATAATGGTGCTTTTGACGCAATTTATGTCGACATTTACTATGCATTTTATATTATGTTAAGGGGACTTTCTCATTCAAAATTGAAAAAAAAAAGACACTTTTTTAATATTTCTTTATAAAAAAACTATTATATTTAGAAACATAATTCCTTTTGGACGCTATTATATATATTATTAAGAACATAAAGAAATGTTTTTCTAGCACTTTTAATTCACCACGACCGCTGTAGAGGGCGCCTTCCAAAAAGCCACGTTTTAATCGGTGAGACACATTGCAGACGTCCTGTAAAAAATTAAGTAAAAATTCAAATGGGATTCTATTCGTGAGACTTAAAACTAGACAAGAAACCACTAAAATATTTTATTTTTTATATTTTTTATCGTTTTATACATATTTTTCCGAAAAATTCAAAAAATTGCTTTTTTGGGGGCAATTCACCCCTGTATAAAAAAGAGGGGGGGGTAGTTTTATGAACTTTTAGAGGTTTATTGTCTAGTTTTAAGTCTCACGAATAGAATCCCGTTTGAATTTTTACTTAATTTTTTACAGGACGTCTGCAAAGTGTCTCACCGATTAAAACGTGCCTTTTGGAAGACGCCCTCTGAAGCGGTCGTGGTGAACTAAAAGTGCTAGAAAAAATTTCTTTATGTTCTTAATAGTATAAATCTTTTTTTTTCAAATTTTGAATGAGAAAGTTTGATTCGTAATAAGTCGTACTCGGATCGAAACTGACAAAGGTCTGTCACTAAAATCGCGACTGTGTTTTATACATACATACTGTATGTATATCGTGACGGGTCTGTTTCACTCGTTTTAATTGCTTTTAAATGAGATCGACCGGGATTACGCGTCAAACACCCGACGATTCCAGACCCAAGTGGCGAGGTCCAATTACCCCTATGAAATTTTCCTCCTCATCAATCTCGGGACCTTTTTGCCCCGTCGAAGTTGTTTATATTTATATTTATCCCGGGGTGTACAAGCCGCACGTCGTACAAGACGTCGCGCCTCGCCCATGAGGAATGTCTTCGGGGTCTCTTTTAGTCGGCGGGTAACAGGACCGCGGTCTCTAAGCAGCGGGGATCATCTTCTAATTATCTGCCCATTCGTCATCCGACGAAAAACCGTGGCACAGCGTCCCGTTCCGCCGCGCAGTGGGAAAAAGGAAACAAGACGACCAAGGAGGATACTCGCGACACGGTGATATCGTCCGTGTCATAAAACGTACATTTACAATTAGTCCTCCATTTTAACTCTGCCTGACAGTGTTCGAGTCTATTTCGACCCACGTTCCTTTAACACTAGGTTTACGGGCACTTATCGTGTAGGTATCTCCACGGCACGCATCAACGAACCCGCAGATTTTCTTTAAAAAACAACTTATTTTATATAATACAGAATTTATGATCTCTGAAATTAATGCATAGCTATAGAGATAGGTATACCACATAGAGAATTTCGAGGTTAGAAAGCATTCGAAATGCGTCAAAATGACGCGTCCCGTAAACCTAGTGTTAACGTTGTTACGACTTTACACACTTCTTTGACAGGTAGATGTCCTAATCACTACCACCTTAAGATTGAAACGTAACTTCAATCATTTTACGGTTTGTTTAACTAAAAAAGAATAAATAAAATGCCAATAGGTAATTGGCCATGTACCCTAGTGTCTTCTTCGTCTGTTTTTCTAAGTAGTATACATAATATTCAGCGTCAGAGCGGATTGTTTTATCCTGTCAACATGAAAATGCTTCTACAAATTTCACTAGCCAATCATAAATAAATGACATCGAATCCAATCGAACCCAAGGATAATCGGTTGTTTTAACCGCCAATAAATCGACGCCCAAAGCTTCCTTGTTCCCGGAGCAGAATGAATCGAGTGGAACCGACTCTCTCGCATTCGGACGAGGCAATAAATATCCCGAAAAAAGTATTTGCGGCGCGTGTTACAGGGGTCCACGGTGTGTCGTTTACCGGCTACTAATTGTCAGATGGCGACGTAATTGTCGCGTTTCTCGCGCGTTTTTCGAGACTTCCCTTCGGGGGCTCCGTGCTAACCGGAGTCCTCGGCTAAAACCGTACCGCCTCTAATTCACTCGGCGTGAACCACCACGTCGCTCGCGGCGTGCACACGTTTGCGCACGTGTAAATTCAGGAATGATTCCGACCGGGAAGCCGCCTAAATATCAGTACACACGCGAATAATAATATCAAATTGTTCTATAAATCGCGAGGTGTTTACATACCAGCATCGTGAGCAAGACATCATCGAGTGAATCCGTGAACCACCAAGTGGGCACGAAAGAGGAATCACGAATTTGTTGGGATTGTCGTTGAGATACCGTGGAATTTTAATAGTACAGTAAATCCTCCGTGAGTGTTCCAAGGATGTTCGGCACTGATAAGGAGAGATTCCCTAGGTGTAAGGATGATTTTTTAATGAGGTTTAGAACAGTGATAGAGCTTGACATTCTGAAGTCAATTATGTTTGTTTCAACCGCATATGGCCATTAGTTTATGAAATATTTAATGTCCAGTGTCGATGAATCTTCGGACACTCGTCGAGGATTTACTGTAGAGCCTCGTTTCGTAGTAAAAAAGAATTCCAGCCGAGGATCCACATTAGGTACATTCTTCACCGGAAGCAACCAGAACGGAAGAGGAAAAATATTTTTTTTTCGGACGGTGCCCGATGTTCGTTCGCGCTGGCTCATTTGTCGTCGACTTTCTGACTCGGTTGCATTGACGAACGAGCTCCGCGGAGAAGGAAGAAAGGGTTAGGAGGTGCGGCGCAAAAAGTCGCCCAAGACAACGGGAGTGGTGCGTCGGGATGGAGCATCGCGAGACGACGCCGAAATAGAACACCACGCCCTCTAGTTTACCTAATTGCCGCGAGCCGCGGTGAACTTGTCTCCTAATTATTCGGTGATGAATGGCGATGGCCACGGGTAGAAATGCGCGATAAACCGTGGCTAATTTTCATTCGTTCGGTGTTGCATGATTTCAAGTGGTACTACCGGCCAACCAGCGAGGATAATTAATTCGTCTTACGAGCCATCTCGATTGGTCAAGCAAACCTCGTGGTGAGATAAATGCCTGGGGTCTTTTGTTATGATCTAGGGTACACCTGGTGGAATCGACGATTACGAAGAGAGACTTGAACGGAACACTTGTCGGTGCTTCAACGTTTCATAGAATCGAGAAATTAAAGAAATTTCGATGGTGGCTTGCAGAAATTCTCATTGTCGAACATATACAGGGTGGAATAAAATTGGAAATGATGGAATTGCCACGTAAAGTGACGTTCGATGGACGTAGAAATGTGGCTTGTAAGCGTTCGATGGGTTCATATTATGCAGACCCCATGGCAACTTAGAAAGCTTAAAGAACTCGTTCGGGGGAAAAGTAACTGTTGGACGACTTTACTCGTCCGCGAGGTTGCTCTCCCGAAGATTTACGGATCGCGTTGACGGCTTTGTAGTTGGACGCGACGTCCCACATATCTCAGTCCGAGCGCACCGCGCAAACGAGAATTGTCCTTTCCTTAGATCTCGAATTTATCGCGTCGACCATTATGCTGCGTAAATCACGCGTGGCCGAGGGTCCTTGGTGGAAATTAGTCGTCGAGGAACTTAAACCATTCCGGTACGACGGAATTAAGTTACGCTTGGTCGTCAATAATCTCATTGTAAATCGTCGAACGATGTACCTTCGTGTCGCAACATTTATTCCGATCGGAGACATCGTATCGTAGGTATTCTCGGCCAGCTTTATCCTTAAATCTCGCGGATAGGATCGAATTTTAATCTCGTCAAATGGAACAAATATAATTATGTCAAGACTCCATCTCATCGTATTTAGCTATGAATGACAATGTCATTTGTCAGATTAAACAAAGAATTAGTAAATATACACGAAAAATCGCGAAATCTATTCGAAATACATTATAATAATCAAAGACGATGACTGTAAATTATCAAGACTCTGAAGTGATTACTGTAACCCTTTCAGACCTGACGGTTACACATTTGTGTACATTATCTAAATGCCTTTTATCAATATTTTTCTTATAAATTTCAATTTTTTCATGTTCTAAATGTTTTTCACAGTCTACCGAGTTAAAATGTGTAATCGAATATTTCTTTTTACCCTTAAAAGAAAATTCAGATCTTAAAGGGTTAAGATGTTGAACAAAGGATTCTTTCCCGACGAACGCAACGCGATCAAAGAAGTAAAGATCAAATGTACCAACGCGCAACAAGTCACAGAATGGTCGTCGTTCGCGTGGTCTTTTTTCATTCTACACGTTAGGTACCGCGGGGAAGGCACATTTTGCTGCATTTCCATGGCAGAATTAGCAGGAGACAGATAAATAGTGGACGAGAAGCAGGAACATTGAGTGGGCGTGGACCCTGCAGGAAGTAATGGATCAAACTCACGGGCAACGGTCCTCCGCGTAAACTTACGAATTCGTTACCACCACGAGGGAGAGACCGAGAGTGGATTCTGTAACAATTACTCCCTTTCACGTCGGTAACAATATACGAATTAAGTGGAAACAATTACTCTTTATTACATACTATGTAATAATCGCCGGATTTCAAAGGCTCGAAGCGTTCTCAAGGTCCTCTGTCGACGCATTCGTCACAGAGGGAAACGCATCCTTTGCGCGCGGTCCTTTGCGACCTTCTACCGCTAGTTTTTCCTCGGAATTAAATAGAAATTCTTTAAACAATACCAAACAAATATAAATTTTTATTGTCAGGCGCGTGTGTCTTTAAAATACGACGCAAGGATCGATTATACATTAAAAGTTTTGAATTTTCAATTGGACGACACTCAATTAAGATACCTTCGTTAATCGAATAATCATATATACGGTGTAAAGATATGACAGATACCGTGCAATGTCTTAATAATGGTCTTTCATCTGAAATAACTTCAATATTTTTTCTGAATGGAATCGAAACGTTTTCCAAGACTCTATACTCGTATATTATACCTTTATTAGCCAAGTAATTCGATAAAACAAACACAAGTGTCCGACACCTGTATAATTTAAGTATTGGCAATTTAATTCTCACAAAACATTGCCTGTTATTACATTTAGTAACACAATAAACACGGTGTTAACGCTTTCTTTCGAATATTCTCAAACTTCCCTGATTAAAGCGTTACACTCTACGAACGTCTATTTGCATCGAGCCTCTTGTAAACATTAAATTAATATTATTTACTATTATTGGTCTCTGCGAAAATGTATTTTCACTTACCGTAGCACATTTCCGGTTCAGGAGAGGTGGAACAGACCATATCGGAATCATCGTATTCGATTTCCTCTGCCATGATCATAGACGAATCTGGCGCTACCAGTTTCCGTCCCTCCGAATCGTTCGTTACTTAAAACAATAAATTACCGTAATTTCGAGTTCATCTTTTTGTTTACCAAATTAAATATAATCTGTTTCGAATCCACTTACATTCATGAGCATGCAAATACACATCAGTCGGAACAGGTACACGCCTCGCGTCCTCCGTACTTTTCTTATTCGGTGCTAAAAGACTTTCGATGCTGAACGAGCATATTTTCGGGCTTTCGGCTAACTCGATCGATTCCTTGGTCGATTCTGATGCTTCCACGCGTTCATCCGACATCCTAAAATTTTCTTCGTTCTTTCTTCTTCTTCAATTACTCGCCACTATCACCTAGATCTTGTCACCATTCGGTATCCCGACGATTAGATATGTTGGATACCCTAAAGATCCGTATATTCACTTTCAAAAGGCGCAATTATTGAAATCCATTTGTCAGTTCGTTCATGGTGGCGTTTTCTTCGTTTTCTTTACACACTGCACAGTCTACGGCACCCACGACTTAACTACGAAATCGCAGACACTATACGGCTCGTAAAGCACACAGGTCTTTTCTCTATGAGATGTCAGACGCAACTGTTGTCATGTGAAAGATACAAGTGTCGAATGATTTCCGAAATCGAAAACATCGATTCGGGTCATTCATAGACACCCTTCGCCGAACCGTTTGCGGGATTACAGGTCGAAACCAGCCAGTGACTGTTTGTCGGGGTTGCTCGCGATGTCCAACAATATTTTTTTTGGCACCCAGGTCAAATTCTTCGTTCTTCGAGGCGGTGTCGAAAAGCCACGTGCTCCCGACGTCATCCTCGGCCCGGCCAATCCGTGGATCCTATGGGCGGTTCTTGGCAAGCACGTGCGCCTCTGGAAGAAGCCCCCTAATGATCTCGTACAACGCGACGGTAGCAGTCACTAAACGGTGGTAATGAGGTATCCATAAATTTCTGTCACCGCCATGAAACGCTATTTAATAATTGTCTTGACAGAAGCCAGTCGTGATTTGAAATCAATTCTCGATCTGTGCACGCATAGGAAATATACATATAAAAACAGCTCATGAACTTCCGGATCTCTGTAGCGATTCGATGCAGTGAATCGTGCAACGATGATTTTTTCCAATGTTTTTTCAGTATCTTCGACAGCTGAATGTTACTCTATTACGATTACAAATGTTTACAGAGATATGTACAGTGTGCAAACGAAGTATTCGTACACCCTTTATTAATACAGAATAATTTTTTTCAAAATTGAACCACGTTACTAGAGTTTCTTTGCGAAGTTAGAAAGATTACGAATTTTTGAAAAAGTTACAATTGGTCGGAATTGCGATGAAAATAGTATAGGTCGCTTTTTACAACTTTTTTATCCGAGACTGTAATGAAAAGTTAATAAATACATTTCAAGGATTTATGTTAGTTATGTATGCATACATGCCGAAATTTTCATTGAAATCGGTTAATGTTAATACAGCAAAACGAGCAACAGGCATCGAAAAGTCACGTGGTCCGATTTTAAAACAGTTGATCTATTTTAAACTGTGCACGAATACTTTTTTTACTGTATGTAATATAAACGGAACTATGTTGAATTTTTTAATCGTACCAGATAGATGATTACCGGCAAATATTTGGATCTTTCTACAGAGAATAAGACGAACAACATGAAAAACTGTATAGCCCGAATGTACGTATTATTAGATCTTAGCCGAACGGTCCACGCATCGTTTGAATTCCGATGGATTCATATAAAACCGCGAAGTGCGACATGTTTGTCAGTTCTACAGCGACCAGGCCCGCACAATTCGCCCCCGTAAGTCTAATGAGATTATTAGACGCACAATCGTCCGGTATTAAACGACGACGATGATAGGGACGACAGAGAGATACAAGAACTGTTGACAGATGTGGAACTTGGCTGCGATTATGCGAACCGGCGGAATACACCGCAGAAATTTGTATCAAATCCGTTCGTTGGCCAAGTTGCGATTCTTCTGTATAAATCAAAGACCCCAGGAACGTCGCCGGCAACAATTCCTGGGGACAGGAAGATTTCTAATTAAAATTGATTTACGCTTGGTCGCGTTCGAGTTATATGTATGCATATCAAAATTGGCCGTTTTCAACCGAATCGTAAATATAAACTGTCGAAGAGAGATTGTGAAACTGAGATGTCAAATCGTTAGACACTTTGGTAATAATGAACGTCAGCCCCGGTCGAGACAGCAGCAAGTTGTCGAAAGGACTAAGTAGGTGTGTCCGCAAGATCACGTTACTCGGACGACACTCCTCTCTCTCGCAGGTTCGGTAATATGTTACATTGCCAGAAAGGTGAAACCTCTTTGGGGGAATGGCTCGGCCAAAATGTTTGTCAATTTTCCGCTTAATTGGAGCCACGATCGACAGGCCGCCCCCGAGATAGGGCGTATGGTTGTAAATTGTCGGTTTCCTCGGGATATGTAGACCGCAAAACACGAAGATCGGGACACATTCTTCCCTGACGTTTGTTTCCCCTCGCCTTGAACATATTTTCGGAGTCATGTTTCGTCAGATGAAAAATCTCTCGCCTCGCGATTCTGTGTTCTCGCTGTTGTAATAATCCGTCGTGTATCATGTTCCGTTTGGTTGCCAGGCGTCATTAACTTTTACCGCTTGTCGACACTCCTCTGAACGGAGGTGTATTACGCGACGAAAACCACGGTTCTTATAAATCTTTTGTATATCTTTATTTATATATTAACATTTACATATTATATTATCTTTTATCGTAGAATAAAACATAATATAGTTGCTACACTCAATGCGTCTCGTGTTACCATCCGAAAATATAGAATAATTACTTTGATTAGAGTAGAATAATAAAATAATTTCCTTTAAGAATATCATTGAACATAAATTAAAATCTTCAGATATTCTGACAATCGTATTAGGGATACAAGGTTATATCTTCGCGATCTTTTGGTGTACCTGTTGCAACGCAGTTAGTTCGCTGCGTTTGGTCCTTGTATCACTTGTGATTAAAATAATTGTATATCGATCTGATACAGTGATATCGAAGTGTAGAGCACCAAGTATTTGTTCAAAGTTACATTTCACACAAATAAACGGTTCGTTTCTTGTATCGTGATTATATCGTGAAACACAATGTTTAATTTCGGTGCAATAGATCGAAAAAAAAAAAAGAAGTGTAAAAGTTTAACAAAATATATTTCTAATTAAACTTGTTGGGTAGTTCGGTTAATTAAAACAACTAAACTCATCGGAACTCGAACGGATCCGAGATAAAACTACATTTGTTGCGTCGAATTCCCGTTCCATGTATTATTTTCATCATTATCTTCCCCACCTGAATGAAGTCTATGTATATGCCCCTCGGTTTTGATGGTTGTCCCCCCTTGAGAACCCAAATATCTTCTGACCAAACTAAATACCACAAATAACATTTTAATAAGACCTGTATTGGTACCGGTGGCTAATGGGAAAACTCCTTCATAAATGCAAAACCTACCCAGATGTCGGAACATTTCGTAGGTTTGGTATAATTCCGTCTGAACTATTCTCCTCCGCGTCAACATTCTCGGGGGAGCTGTTCTGGGGTCTCTGTGTATTTTGCCGCGTACCTCCTGAGAAGTAACCTATCATATAGTTGTACACGTACATGACAGGCGCGACAAAGGACCACATAAATCGTGATAAGAAACCAACGTCTGGTGTTGAGCTCTCAATTGCCGTGACATTAGGCTAAAATCATAGATTAGGACAATGAACAATTTTCGTAATAGAACGAAAATATGAATATTTTTTTTTTTTAAATAGACACGTCAATTACATTTTTCAACGGTAGAATTAAAATCACAGCTGTGGGAACCAGTTCTAGTTGTAAAAGAGTTTTATTATCTTCTTCAGCTGTCAAGTCTCTTCTGGGAAATGAGATAGACATCGCAAACTGACGGAATGGTAAATCGATGTTCTGGACAACATAATTACGCAAATCGCGTAAAGTATTTGTTGGTTCAAATTGTCCCATGTGAGGACTACCGGATGGCAATTTGAACTGAATTCTAGTTACGGATGCATCACTTGCAATCGGCGCATACAGTTTAGGTGGCTCTTGGCCTTGTTGTTTCTGCATTTGTTGCTGTATTCAATAAACATGTATCTTTTCCAAAGACGAAAATATAACTTTTAACATTATGTTTAATAAAAAGAAAGGATACAAACCTGGATAGCTGACTCCCTTTGTTTTCTTTCTAATTTATCCTGAGCGATTTGTTGCCTAACCTTTTCCCTGGCTGCTGCATCGGCAGCTTTTTCCCTTAATCTTTCGTCATGAGCTTGTTTTATTTCTAAATCTTGTTGTTTTTGTCTCATTTTCTGGACATCACGTCCAATTTTACGTCGCTCTATTTCCCTCTCTTTTTCTTTTTGTTTTTCTTCCTCTACATGCTGTACACGTTGCAATTCTATCAACTGCTTTGCTCTTTCCACTTTTTCCTAAAGATACACAATGTTTTAATATCTTTTTCCTTTAGAATTATGTAATTCTAAGACAATTGAAATAAAAACATACTTCTGGTGACAATTCTTTGGTACTTGCATCTTGTGTCTCACTATTGGAAACTGAAGCTTCGGTGGTTTTTAAAGCGGTACAAGGCTCTACCTTTACATCTTCTGTTGTTACAATACTATTCTCATTTTTTAAAGTTGTTTGTGATAAAGGTACATCTGTATTTGACTTTGTTTTGTTATCATTTTTAAGATCTACACTGCTACCGGCATTTGTATTGGAATTAATAGTACCGCTACTGGCAGTAGCTTTTTTCTCTGCATCTATTAAATTCATAGAAGAATTTTCATTCTTCCTTGCCTTTGATAAAACTAACTCAATTTTGGTTATTAAATCAGCGGCAGTTGTTGTACCAGCAATAATCTCCAATGGTGTGCCATTAGTACTAATGAAGAATATAGATGGAACAGGTACCAATTGATCTTATGCAAATTAATCAGGAAAATAATATTTGAGTAACATATTCTTTTAATACATTATCTGATCATTTGAACGATTATCAGTATATTGAATAAAAGGATACAAATTTGGGCAAAGAACCTATAGTTTTCAGACCCACTTTCCAATCGAATTGCTACAACGTCATCTTGTTCCAATCTACAAGAAACTTCTGTAGTATTGATCGATTCAGCAACTTGTGCAGAAGTGTCATCTTTTCCTGTAAATATGTTTTAGTAGGTTTTATGGATCAAAACAATTCTCTGAGTTTGGTGCAATGTGAAATATGATGATCACACAAACATGATTTCAATGCAACCTCTAAATTATATATTTACTATCAGAATGAAGGATATCTTAACCTAAAATTATAAATATACACCTTCAACAAAAACGACGAAAATTGCTTTCCTCGATTTTGATGTTGCCACTGCTTCCGTAATGCTACCTTCGAACCACTTCATTTTTTGTGAAATTAGAAATATTTGTGTTCCGTTGTACTATCAATTGACAATGACGTAATGAAAAAGCAGTTTAATCACTAGGAATTTTATATAGCACTTGACGTTTCAAAAGCTGTTTGAGGTTTGGGTAGGTAATTTTTAGACTGTCTCAGTGGAACAAGGAACAATCCAACGTGATCCAACGTAAGTACCAACGGTACCAACCAACATACGTCGTTATGAACAAGACAAGTATAATTATCCACTGTTGTCTACGAAACTTTTACCTTCTGGCAAATGCTACAAAAAACAGCATTCCCATCTATGCCACGCTGTTCTGTGGTGTTGATATATGTATTATCTGTATTTATACATATATAAGTCAGGATAAACAAGAGAATTTTAATTGTTCTTCGATAATCGGAGTTTTTAAGTTCGTTATTTATTTTCAATTTAAGTTATTTTGATACATAATAAAGTGCATGATGTAACAACTATTGCTTTATAAAGCACACCACAGAATTATACGTATGCATTGCACGTTTGTCCTTCACCAATTGAAAATAAAGTTCCATTTTTAATTCGTTGAAGATTTGATTTGTTGAACGTCTGCCTTCAAGTTTCAAGGTCAAACAAGAACCAGAAGAATTGAACCACTTTAGTGTGGGTAGAGTGTAAACAAGGATGTTGAGATAGAAGTTGAAGAATACGTGATTTTGTGCGTGAATTATTTAGTGCCTGCTTATCGGGAATAGGACTTCTAAAACAATGGCGCATTTAGTACAGAAAAGTAAGTGTTATCCACACAACTTATTACTCATTATAGTTTTACTGTATTCCTTTGGGAATCGTAAGATTAGAGCAGTGCATCAGGCTATTTTGTTGGCCACACTGTTTGGATCGCCATGTTCCTCGTTTTCCGTTGGAATGTCATAAGGGATAGTGGAATAAAATGTGGTAATGGCGAGTGCGTCTGTTCCGCATATTTGATGTTGTGATAAAGTTGGGCGTACGCGTCCGCCTTATCAATTGTGACAAAGTATTTTGTATTGAATATGTTCACTTGATTTTGGTATATACGCTTAGTTTTTAAGCAAAAATAATCTACACTAAAGAGATCAGAGTGTTCAGTGTACTATGTCGGTGATTCATTATCGGAATATGGGAGTACAGGACACATAATAGAAGATAATCGTATTATATGAGAAAAATTTACGACTTCGTATATTTTACAATACGTGCGTATATTTTAACGTATTTCCCCCGAAATACTCCAAAAACATTTTTGAACGTGTCGCAAGGACGGAAATAATCAATACGCGTTCGTGAATGGGTAAAGCGATAATATGAAATCGGAGCGAGCATGAAGGTGACTGTGTGTTTCGACAACGTTAGAGTGGTGGTTCCTTGCGGGAATGGAACCCTACTGGTTAAAGACTTAATGCATGAGGCTATTCTAAGGTATAAAAAAGCAACTGGAAAAAATGATAGTGCACTAACTATAAACAGCTTATCCTCCTTAACTGGAGGTGGTCTGTTGGATCCAGATGACAGGTTATGCGATGTAGCCGATGATAGAGAGCAGATTGTTGCTCATTTTGTGAGTACAGATTCTACGCATGCTGGTGGTGATGGGGCAAGTTCTGTGGGGACAAACAGCCCTGACTTTTTTCACTCGGATGGCAAAGAATTAACTTATGCAATTGATACACATTCCTCTATACCTAGCAGTAGTATTAAAAGGGAAAGTACTAAAAGATTGTCAATGCATGCATTGTCGACTAGAGAACCTTGTTTAACCACGTATTCCGCTCAATCTCTTCCCAGAGAATCTAGACGTAGAGAACCATTGGGGCAAGATGCCAAAGTATCGTTTGAATATGCAAATCTAGAACTTGCAGATCAAAGTGAGGTTCGAGAAATTGTGATAAAAAATGAAGCAGGTCCACTAGGACTTCATGTGGTGCCATGTTATGATCTATTGGGTAATGACCAAGGACTCAGAGTCGAAGGCATTGAGCCTAATGGCAGAATTGCTAGAGATGGACAAATTGATTTGCATGATAAGATCATAAAAATAAATGGCCACAATCTATTGCATATACCATTCTCCAAAGTGCAAGAAATATTTAGGACTTGTATGACTGAACCATGTCTGCAGATTTCAGTAGTAAAGCATAAAAAGCCACGTGAGAAATCATTGCATAAGGGTCACGGTAACATTAGTGGAGGGTCAGAGAAAACAGAACCAGATGACAATGGTAAAAGACTTCAGTGTAGCAACTATAACCTCTTACAAACTGCTAATACACGAAAAATTGGCCGTATGATAGAAATAGAATTAACAAAAGGAAGTAATGGACTGGGTTTTAGTGTCACAACACGAGATAATCCTGCGGGAGGACATTGCCCCATATACATTAAGAATATATTACCAAAAGGTGCTGCAGTTGAAGATGGAAGATTAAGGCCTGGTGACAGGTTGCTGGAAGTAAATAATAAAGAAATGACAGGCAAGAGTCAAGCAGAAGTGGTTTCGCTTCTTAGAAGTATTCATCCTGGTGGGAAGGTGAGAATGGTGGTTTCTCGTCAAGAAGAAATTTCTTCTAGTATTCCAGATACTCACACCCATGTCACTTCCACCAGTCAAACTTCAGAAACTACAGACAATTCGAAATATTGGAATACGGTGAACACATCATCAATGAAAAAGAACACTGAAGTTCACGATAAAATGAATGCCCACAGTTTCGATAACAGTACATTTAAGTCTGTAAAATCGTCAGAAGACATTGTATTGTCACCCCGTAAAAACCGTATGATACTAACCTTGGATATACCAGTGCATGATTCAGAGAAAGCTGGATTGGGTGTCAGTGTGAAGGGAAAGACAACTAATACAGATGAGAATACCAATATGGATTTGGGTATTTTCATAAAAAGTGTTCTTCATGGAGGTGCAGCATCGCGCGATGGAAGATTAAGGACCAACGACCAGTTGCTCAATGTGAATGGGGTGTCTTTATTAGGATTATCCAATTCTGATGCAATGGAAACCCTCAGAAGAGCAATGCTCAATACAAATAGCTCTGTAACAGGTGTAATTACCCTTACCATAGCCAGAAGGATATCTTCCTATGATGCAAATGAAAAAAATCTTCCAGAAAACTTGTCATCCCATTGTAAATTAGAATCCGCGAATAGCATATACATATCAGATACCACGACAGCGAACGAAGGTCGGGTAAAAGAGAAGAACAACCTAAATTCACAGTCAGACATCTTGGATAACGGAGGGTTATTGTCCTGTGTAACCGCATCCCCTTGGAACCCGGTCATAGACAGACTGACAGAACAGTATAACAAAAACAGTTTAAGAAACGAAAGCTATTGCATCGCTACCAATAAAACGTGGATAGAACCTGTTGGCAACTTGAAGAAGATTACCGTGGGACAACGCGACGACCGCGCGGAGCCAGTACTGCTGGAGGACTCCAATGACGTCCAGTGCAATGATGCCAAAAGAACTACAGACGATAAGGACAGTCAGTATTCCGGGGACCCGACTTACGACAGTCAATTGTCGTTGGAGGAATTCAGTTCATCGTCCAACAAATTTTCCCGTGATGCTCTGGGCAGGCAGAGTATGTCGGAGAAGCGACATGCTGCCCTAGACGCAAAGAACACTGACACATACAAGAGGAACAAGAAATTGCGCGAAGGACGAGAGAATAAAAGTCAGGAACAACCGAATCAAAAGCCCGCGAATCAATCGACCGACTCAGAGGATCAGACAAGGCGAACAGTAGGTAAACCGGAGAGTTTCGAGAAATGTAAAAGTAGTAGTAAAGGCACCATAGAAGGGAGCACGAGCGACGGTAATCTGAAACGATACGAGAAGTCCGTGGACCCAGTCCAGTCTGATTATGTATACACTGTATCGGGATGTAATAATAAGTTCACCTCGCCGAGGAAACATTGGCTGGTGGACGATATACACGGGGAGATAACGAGTAGCAATAATTTTAAGGACGATCGCGAGGGTTTTCCAAATAGTCGAGGGGACGTGAAACAGGCTTCGCTCAATTCAGCTCTAGACGATCGATACAAACGTTCGCGGAAAAAAGGTGGCATTCGGTCGATGCTTCGACTAGGGAAAAATAGGAAATCGCTCAATTTCGGTGACAGTATAGAAGCTCGGCACGAATCCAGTAATTATTGCAGCGGAACAATAAATTATATCGCATAATATTAAAGAGAGAAAGAGAGAGAGAAAGAGAAAAAGAGAGAGAGAGAGAGAGAGAGAGAAAGAGAAAAAGAGAGAGAGAGAGAGAGAGAGAAGAAGAAGGGTATTTTGTAACGTAGACGCGAAGCCCACGGTATACATAAACGTACTTGTACATCTAGAAACACGTATTATACACGATTTACACATTTTTAACACTCATCGCACGCTGCGTACATATTAGTATATACTTACATGTATGATTTATTCCAAAGTGCCTTATATCATTGAGAAGAAAGTAATCAATTCTGTATATATATATAATTTTTGTACTCGTCCTCAATTCGTACCGATCATGTATCTATTTTTAAAATAAAAAAAAAAAAATGAACGTGCACTCAATACAGTGTAGTAACTTGAATAGCCGGGTAATTTCCGAAACAGGAAGGTAATTTCATTGTTACCAATCTAAAATTAGACTTTCGAAAGGTATATTTCACCACGTTAACCATTGTCCGATATTCCTAAATTGTACCATGTAATCAAAAAGAGCGACATTCGATGCAAACAGTGTGGACAAAACCCCGAAAATTAGACTGCGGTAAGTGTTTTCCCTTACGCGAGTGATGAATTGAGTTACGGTGGCAGTAAATCTAACCTGTTATTTTTCTGTTTAGCACTTCGGTTAACGCCAAATCAGTTGCTGTATCAACAGAAACGTTTCAGAGGCAAAATAAATCTGAAGAAACCGAAAGTACACTACACACGAGCGGTGTTGAACGAGCTTTTAACGCCATTCTTCCCAAATCCTCTGAAGGACAAACCCATATATGAACTGTGCGCTGAATCAATGGTTCAAAAAGAATTTCCACTTGGACCCTACGATAAAATTCTAATAAAGGATGTTCGTAATTGGTTCGACAAATCGAAAATGATCGCTTGTTTGCACGTGAACAGCATTAAATGCAACGACATGTTTGAGGTCGCGGTTCCCCTGAGAAGACAGAACATGTATTATAAGTACTACGGACCCCACATTATTAAGGCAGCAATAGCGGGCACGTGTTACGAAGGCATCGGCCCGTTGATTAGTAAACAGACTGGGTATATATTCAGTCCTGATATAAATGTACTCGCTCTGGAGAAAATCCTTAAGAAGGTCCCGCAACTGTACACATTAGGTGAGTACCGATGACGAGATCTATTTTCTTTTTGTTTTTCGCGACAAACGGTGTTAGAAAATCAATCATTGTTCCAGGAGGAGTATTGGACGGGTATGTTTTCAAATATGATGATTTCTTGAAGTACGGACAAATGGACATGGTAACGGCACAGCTCGGCTTGGTACAAGCATTACAGAACGCTGGCGGCGTTAATCTAAATCGGCAGCTTACGCATCATCAGACAACACTGGTGACACGACTGAAACAGATCGGTACAAATGAGTCAGTCGCGGACAAGAACGAATGATCGGCGCCTGTATAATTGCGAAACTATTTGTATCAATAATTTATTATACATTTGTCATTCACACGAAGCTTTCAGTAAAAGTACAATTTATTTACCCGCAGTCCTTTGTTAAAATAGAAAATAATCGTTAGAAACACCGAGGCGTGTCCGCCTTTTTTTTCCTTTTTTTTCTTTCATTTTTATTATTTTATTACTTTCAATTCCACGAAGGACGGTTCCGCGATAAGGTTAATCGTTGAGCAAGCTGTGGTGTAACGTATACGTGATAACTTATCGATATCAGTTTGTCGGTTATCGAACTCGTCATTAAACAAGTATCAAAGGGTTCGCGACGCTTTTGACTAACGTTCGAGCTCGATACTCGCGAATCACTTTGACAAACGGGACTAAACATATATATGTATATATATTTTTGTTGGTATACGTTATTTCTTCGATCGTGTACATTGTCGTTGTGCGTTGTCGCGGTAATTGTATCTTTAGACGGTTCTCCCCTCAGTGACAATAATTGCAACGAGGATGACACTTGACTCCATTTTCGCCGCATCTACAGCCTCCGGATGTGTCCCCTTGTCCCTGTGAATGCCAGAAAGCGGATCGATAAAGAAACGAAACAATCAAGATAGCGTCGCGGAGCATTTCCATTTCAAATCTGTAGAGCTGTGGGCAAATTGTTAGCGGTCTAATTCTATTTTCCACATAGTGCTAAGATGTTTGCACTTTAAAAAATGAATCATATTCATACACTAATTAATTGGCTTAGAAGGAAAGAAATCTGTTTTTATTTTTATTCTTAGAAATTTTCCTCATTCGTTATTGTTAGCTCCTAGCTTGAGTACTTGAGATATTTATCTACATATATCTCTTCCCATTTTCGTAAATGTAATTCGAACATCTGTGCATTACAATCTATTGGAAGATTTAATTCATATAGCTTGTTAAGATATTAAGGTGAAACTGATGTCTCTTTATATCTCAACGTATTGATTACTCACTCCTGGTCCCCATCGTGGGCCTCTTGTTACCCAGCATATTTCGGTTTTGCACATTGTGCAACGCAACCAGTCGCAACCCCATTTTTTCATCAGGACAATCGCGCACGTGGGGCACGCGAGCGCTTCCCCCCTGTCCACCATTTCCTTGAGCATCGCGGCGGTTCTTCTCGACTCATGGTCCGTCTCTTTGGACAATCTTAACTCCTGTTGGTACTGCTTGCAATTTTTACCAGCGTGTATGACCTATACGACGCGAACGTTAATTAGCAGTTTGTATTTCAGGAATGAGTGAACATAGTGCGCGCCATAGCTAAGAAGCCTATCAATATTACCTTTAGATCAGGGTTACAGAAAAAATATTTACGTTATTCTGTTATGAGTTTTTGCTATTTTCTATGAATGTAATTTACTACTGTAATTAAACTGTTTAATAATAGTTCCTTGGCTATTGATTGTTCGATCTATTGAACCAATTAAATAGCAACCGGTAGACAGTGTGTTAAAGAACAATGAACAGCCGAAACCATAGGTATCCTAAAGGGAATCAGCCTCTAAAATTTTCCTTTCCGACCTGGCAAGTGAAACAATTGTTTGCCCCGCACACAGGACAAAGGAAGTTATTCACGTCGTCGTCGTAGATGCACCAACCAGGACAATCTGGTGTTTTACAGTGGAACGCGTTGTTCCCAGCATTGTTCTCCGCTTGTGCAATCGACTTCGCCAGATGTTGTTGGTAGACCTCCGGTTCAACGAGCTAAATGGACATATAAACTGCGTTGTGTTTGAATCGAAAGCAATATTCTTACTCTTTGAAAAATTTCTATAGGAAATGCAGTTGTGAGGCTGGGAGGAATAATACGACGGTGGTTGGAGGGAACATCCATGGCAGTCATTTGAATAATGAACTCACGGCTTTGATCTCACGTTCTTGAAGGGTCGACTCGCAAGTGTATTCCGAGCTTCTGTAAGGACATTTAACTTCGGCTTCTTCGCAGTATCTAATAGTATTAGCAATACATGACCTACGAAGGAAGAATTGAACAATTTTTATAGCGATCACAGAATTTTATAATAATTCTTCTCTACCTGCAGAACATGTGTAAGCAGTCTCGTAATATTACGCCTTCGCGTGGACCGTATGTGACGAAACATACGGGACACTCGATTGGCTCTGAATTCGGTATGAGATCACAGTTCTCTAATGAGATTAGCTCTTCGTAACGTTCCATCTTCACCTCCTCTGGTGTATCCGTTTCCTCTGTCTCCTGTTTGTAATCATTTCATGTACCAAAATATTGTATGTACATATGTATGTCAGTCACGTGAACAGATTGTTCAACGTTAATTGGTACCTGAGGTTCCCCGACTACTTCGTGAACTTCTTCTACAGGCTGCAGTACTTCAGCAGGCGAGGTTTCTTCATCGTTTATCACATTTTGCTGCCTATCCGCGTCGCTTGGTTTCTCTACTTGTATTGCATTCTCGGGTTTTAATTCTGCAATTTCATAAAAAATATTCAGCGGAACCGATACCTCTTGGCTACATGTATCGTAAACATCAACACTAAATTAATTGGCTATTTAAAGTGCTCTGTCACAATCTTCTCTTGACATAAGTACTTTGTGAAGGAAGGAATTTCATCCTTATGAAAATTTATCTGATAACGATGGACTCGTTATTATGATAATTAAACAGATACATATGTACATATATCTAACTATTCAATATATATCCTCAAGAACTCTTAGATAACAAAGCCTAATTTTCAGAAGAACTTGATTCACGATCTCATCGGTCGTATCGATTTTAATTATGTTTTTTTTTTTTTGCGAATTCACTTCTTTACCTGGCGCCACAAGATACAAAAATACCGGAGACCCATCCACCGCTTGTAATTCATTCAGCGTCGCCCCATCCCGATCGGCCAAGTTCTTTCCAATGATCCATCGTTGCACGTTCGTCGGTATCTCGAATTCCGCGTGTATCTTTCCCTTCAGCTCAGCTACCGTCATCCTGCTCGGCAGCTGTTATCATATCATGGCTTAGCAGACCGTCCCTAAGCATCGTGTCTTACGGATAGAACAAGCGGGCCGCGGCGCTTTGATTCGACTACGATACCGCTATTTACCTGAAGAGGTATGGGTCCCTGGTGAGCGAGCTTGTCCTCAATGTACATATTGACTTTAATCAACTGATCTTTGAGACGGGCTGATCGTTGCCGAATCACGGAACAGTGGATCTTCAGACGTGCCAGCTCCTTCGCCAAACCGGCAGCTTGCTGATGATGGCCAGACGCGATCGCACCCTCTAACTTTCTGAGCAATCGGTTTATCGCGAGCGTGTTCATGTTCTTCTCCGTTGAATTGTCCTCTGCAACAAAGGCGAGAACGCGTTGTTCGTCATATGGACAAATAGGAAAACACGCTGAACGACACAACCGAGTTGTAAATTTAGCCGGATGATTCATTCGGAGTGAGTGCGTATTATCTTCATCGCTTAAGGAATTAGCCCACCCTGATTGCTTGAAAATCGTAAGTACCTTTGTAAGTCAATTTTTTCTGGGAATACAATAAAGTAAATTGGAATTCAGTTGCAATGATTGTAACTCATACAGGGTGAGTTAATAAGAACTACCATGGAAAATAGTTCTCTTTACCAATTGGTTGTATTAGAAAAGGGTTCAATGAATGTAGCAGCGTTGGAAAAATGAGAGGGGCCCAAGCGGGATTCGAACTCACGACCCCCGGCGCCGAAAGCAGATACTCTACCCACTGCTCCACGGAACCCTTTCATTTTTCAAAGATGTTATTTTGCTCCTTTGTTGGGTATGGAGTTCCCGATTCCACATGAATTATATAGAATTTTAAGGGACGCATTGGATAGATACAATCTGATATTTTTATAGTTTGCGATATCAAGGTAACATTGAATTTGTTATTCCAGGTCAGTGCATCTTTTCTTTTTTTAAATACCGTGCTGTTATCGACGAAAGGACCAATTCAACGACCTACGGCACGATGGTATTAAAAAGAAGACGCATTGACCTTGAAAAAACCTTAACTCCTTAATTACTATGTCGGATTACCTTCTTCGCTACCCGCGAACGTTTCCTTGTTCGTGTTCAAATTCCTTCTAACCAACGGGGAACAAGTTGCGTCGTTATTATCAATCCTGTTGATTTTGTCGATTCTCGGTGAGCTGGTACGTGGTTTCGGCGACGGTGGAACATGAGCGTTCGCGTAGATAGATTGTTTCTCGATCACGTTCGCGTACGTATTCTCGTTCGGACCGGTTCTCATTGTTTTCGTAGCTTCGATCTCCGCGAAATCACGGGGCCGTATCAACTGGAAGGTATTTTTCGTCAGTCCCATCGAACTGGCCAGCTTTTTCCCCGACGTTTTGTACAGAACGTTCTCCCGTTTCCATCCAGACGTAGACGGTTGCTGGTCCATGGACGTCGACGGTTGATTCAACCGTCGCACGTTTCCGCTGGTCTGCACCGAACACGAGACCTTTTGTTTCTCGATCTCGTAGTCGTTCTGTGCCCCGATATTCTCGACTTTCGTCACTGCGGACACAAAGTACGCGGTACTCTGCTCGGGTGCAACGGGCAGTTCTTTGACGGTCCTCAGCAACGGAACCTCCTCCGCGGCACGTGTCATCGTTTTCCCCGGTTTCGGCCGTTTCGGTAACGAGTGTTTCATTTCCTTCAGCATCTCCTTCAAATCCACCGTAATTGGATCCTCGACGGTATTCAGTATCGGGGATCTCGTTTTGCCTGATTTCGTTTTCACGTTCGAGTTGCTCGTACCAGAAACGTTCCCAAGCGGTATCGATTTTTCCGTCTCTATCTTTGTCTTAGGGCTCTTCTCCGCCTCGACCAGGATGTCGAGTACTTTAGTTACCTTGCTTGATATTCCGGCCTCTTCCTCGTGAACTTTACCCCTCTGATTAGCAGCCGTCCCCGTACCACGAACCACTCGACGATCGATGAATTTCAACGGTTTCATACACAGCTGCTTGTCGATTTCATCGAATATATCCGAGAACTCTTTTTGCACGTTCTCTAAATGATGCTTGTTGTCAGTCATCTTTCTGGGTTCCTCGAAAATCCTCGCTGAACGTTCCCCACGAGAAAACAACCGATCACCAATCCCTGCTGTGTCCTCGTTACTCGACTTTGGCTCTTTATCCTTCCTATCACCAGCGACTTCCTGTCTCGATCGAATTTTTTCATCCACCACAGTCGATCCACTGTCCTTCCGAGGATTCGCCGTATCGTTCGTTCGATTCGCGGCGAGTTGACTCTGCAAGAATGATATTCTACTCGAGGTGTCCGTGGCCAGTCGATCGTTTTGTTCCTTGGCCGTGTTGACCTTACCTCCAGGTGACTTCGTTCCCGTCTCCGTATTCTCGATCTTGTTCCTCCCTGTCTTTGGCTGCGGTGGGAAATACCTAGAGATATCCTTCTCGGTGTGCGCACCAGTTTGCACTTGGACAGGATGCACCGAGAATCTCGGATTCTCTTTCCGTTCTACATGATGCTGATACGGTCTCGCGTTCCTCACCACGTCTCGTTCGAATTTCGCTGCTTGATCCCTGCCTTTCGCGAAGAAGTTCGCGTTCACGGTGACCTTCGTGATGTTGCTGATTGCATTGAACTTGGAGATCAAAGCTCGAGTGCCGCGTCTGGGTGACGAATTCTCCATCGAAGACGTGACGATGTCCTGAACGATCTCTTCGTTGACATCCCTTTTTTCGAAGGAATCCACGAACCTTGAGGACTTCAGTAACATCGATGCTCTGGCCCTGGCCTGTTCCTCTTGGACGATAGCTGCTGCTTCTTTGTCTAACTCACTGATATTGGTTAATATCGACAGACCCGATTTTCGTTTCGCCTCCCTCTTACGATCGTCCGTTTGCCCGCGATGGAAGAAGCTCAATCTCGAGACAGAGGCGTCCACTGTGTAGCTGGTGGAAGAGGCGACGCTCGACGTGGCGGAATCCTCTTTTGTCTCGTGGGTCGAAGAGGTTGTAGGTCCCCTGAGTACGTCACCTCCCCGCCTCGACTGCCCGGAATCTCGGGAATGTTCGAAGACGCTACGTTTGTACCAAGGTCGTGGCATGGCTGCGTTTAAAGCTCCAATGTTCGTAGGGACTGTGGTCGTGGTATCCCGAAGAATGCCGGTTAGGTCCGACGTGGTGCCGGTGTCTTTTTTCTCTTTCGTCTGTTTAATCTCTTTCTTGGACAACAGCACGCCGCCCTGCAGCATCAACGTGTCGTTGCTGATCGCCAGACCGTTCTCTGTGTCTCCACGTGCCACTACGTCCATTCCATCGGTAGCCCGAGTTTTCGTCTTTTCCACACTCGGTTCACCGTTCACGATTCTCTCAGGCGGTTTTGGCGCACGTCTCTTTCGTCTATTACTGTTTCTCGGCGTCTCCACTCGAGCGTCCACTTCCGTTCCCTTGACCGCCGGTGGCTTTGGCGCGGGTCTTTTACCCTTCACGTGCACCCTTCGTCGCCCGGAGCTGGAATCCGTCCCTCTGTCCTCGACTCTTCTCAACGAACCCAAGAGCCGTCTCTCGGGGAACGGTAGATTCCCGCAGGAAGTGAACGTAGCTGACGGTTGCAGGGAATATCTGCTGGTTATGTCTCTTTTGTGAGCGTTCGTGGGCAGAGTACAGGCAACGTCTGCAATGTCGTTCTCTTTGTTGCCACCGGTGACTACTTTCGACGCGCCGGCAGCAAACGGGCCAACCTCGGCCGCCTGTTCGAGGATGTCCAACGATAATCCGTCGCATCTGCCCAATGTACCGGTGTGAAACGCGAAGCTACGAACCGTTGTCGTGCTGTAGAACGTGTCTACGCTCTCCACGCTGGAGGAGACACTTTGCTGTCGTGCAACGTCTTCATTGTCACGGCACTTGATTTTTCGTCGTTTATCGACGGTCGACTCGCGATTACCGGATCGTTTGAACCACTTGAACAGGGAGAATCTACCTCCTGTACCACGATCCTCTTCAACCGCGCGTAACACCTGATCTACGGTCGTTTCCGTCGCGACAACGTCCACCTTCGTCGCTGCTCCTCCGTCCCGGTCGCTGATCCGTACGCCATTGGGGAATGCGTTCGCCTCGATGCTGCATGCGGCTCGTTGTACCATTCTTACTCACCGCATATCCCTCTCGCGCTTGGTCCCCACCTCATCCACCACCACGGCTCTGCATAGTTCTTTATTTAGATTCACTCGAATGTGGTTTTAACTTCCTTTCAGTCTCTCACCGTCTTATATTATAGGTGAACTGGCGTGGAAAGTCTTCGAGGAATTATCACGTTTTAATTATTCCCTGGACATCCGGTTCTCCCGGCCAGTTTTGCACACCTTGTTTCTTCGTTGTTCTGCTTCGATAATTCCTTACTATGTCCCGTTCTAGTTTTAACACGTTTAGATCCATCCATAAGGGAATTTTAGCACCAGGAAAACAAAGCGTATTACGGACCACGAATTTTTCGGAAGCATCGTTGTAAGATGCTCTCGAGGAGCGAACTTCGGAGGGGGATCGCGTGTCCGCGACGCGGCGCGAAGAATGTATCGCGGTACGGTAAATCGACTGACGAATTTTCGCTGCGAAACCGACCACGGGGACGCTGCCGAAGCCCACGACAAAGATACTCTCCGGTACACTATTTATAGACGGGCCTTCTCCTGCCGTCGGTTATTTTCAAGTCCACTCTCTCGATGTCTGCGCCCCGCGCTGCTGTCCGAAATCAAAACAGAGAAGCACCGGCTAACGCGCGCGCGATTTTCAACCACGGTCTATCGCCGCGCCTCGTTGACGAATATTATTGTTACCTCAAAATCGAGATCTGGAATACGGCTTTTACCCCTGAGTGAATGCGTTTCGTTGCATTCAGTGGTCTGCTGGGTTTATAGTCCCCGGAAGAGTTCCTCTGATGGGTTTTCAACTGATACGCGAATACTTTAAATATAGGGTATACGATGAAAGATAGCACTAATATTTGAAAATGTAGAATAATGTCTTGTTGCGGAGAAGACTTTATGTCTGACATGTATTTTAGGTGTCCGCCTTCGATTGCTTTGGTTTTCGGATATGTTTTTCGGGACCGAAAAATAAGAGATACGTATTTTTTTATAGCGGCCCGTTTTCATATTTAGGGGATGAAACCAAACCTCAAAGTTTCGACCCGGAAGTACTATCTCGAAAACCAGAGGAGATACGTGAAAACTTTCAATTGGTGGCTTTCATGGTTTTTTATGTACAATAAACTGGTGTTAACAAATTGTCAAAAATACAATTTGTTTGTAACAAAAAAATTTGTTATAATTTTATTTTACAAATTATTGAAATTTGCGTAATGACATAAAATGACGAGCACTTAATTCCAAATTCATTGGTATATTTATTTTTGAAAGTCTGCGAAACATGTTTTTCAGAAAAATAACGTCGCCAGAGTTATTCTTGTGCCGCTGCATACGTTCGTTGAAAAACAACAAATATGAATGACACAAGACATCACGTTTGCAAATAAAAGTTGCTTTTGCAAACAAAAAGATTCATAAAAATTATATCAAATTTTGTGAGAAATCGAAATTGACTATTATAAATTGACCATTATTTAATTTTTATTAATATATTCTCCGAAAACCGAGGCAATCGGAAGCTTAAAGAGCGGGCGTGCGCACAGGATATAAATAATAAAAAACTGCGAGACTCAGGAGGCAATTTCAAAAATAAATACACCAATGGATTTGCAATTAAGTGCTCGTCATTTTATGTCATTACACAAATTTCAATAAATTGTAAAATAAAGTTACAAGAAATTTTTTTGTTATAAACAAATTGTATTTTTGACAATTTGTTAACACCAGTTTATTGTACATAAAAAACCATGAAAGCCACCAATTGAAAGTTTTCACGTATCTCCTCTGGTTTTCGAGATATTACTTCCGGGTCGAAACTTTGAGGGGTGGTTTCACCCCCTAAATATGAAAACGGGCCGCTATAAAAAAATACGTATCTCTTATTTTTCGGTCCTCTAAAACATATCCGAAAACCAAAGCAACCGGAGGCGGACACCTAAAATACACTCCTTTAGTATTCGTACACTTTACATATTTAACTTTATTAGTATACTGCTGGTTTGTATTGATATTGGTGTTTATTTCAGTTGGTATTGATGCTGATAAATATTCTCAGTGGCATGATTTGTGGAGTTTGATGTAAATCGATTGCTGGGATACTTATAGGTAGTAAGATCAATGGGAAATAAGTAAATGGTCCCGTATTGTCGTCTGCGGTTTTAATAAGTAGAAACAGACAACAGTAGACAGACGTTTCTGATAGATACAGTGACTCGCGCATTCGTTCGCATACTTTCGACATAATAATCGACCACAGAAATTATTTCTTCGAGTATAGGATTTCAATACTAATTAGTAAATTCTCCAGTCAAGTGATCCAGTAAACCGTAATACAAACAAGGTGAATAATGAGCGAGGGGAATATTTAATAGACCGCGGGGTGGATTCACGTCCGAATAGCTTAAACCGTCCGATTTACATCGTTGTCGAGGTTCATACCGCATGTATGTAGGTATACATATATGTACAAACACACTGCTCACCCACGGTATTATTTTGGGATTTGACTAATCCCGTGAGAGGGCATGGACCAGCGAACCGATGACTGGAGTCTCCTTTCGATCCTATGACGACAACACACCCGTCGACACTTACGAGTAAATCCAGTATCGTTTCCGAAAAATTATCACAAATCTATCGTCATTTGACATAGTGGAAGGATGCTGAATTTATAACTTATACTTAAATTTTTGTTGGTTTCGATTATCGATTTCCTTTTCAATCGATTACAGCAATCTTTTCAACTCCGATGTACACGTATCAGAAGAATTTCCGAGAACAACGTAGTTCTTGTCCGCTATCCAACGATATCTTCTATCGCAACCTCTAAAAATAAACGAAACATTCGACGAAAATTTCGAACTCGTCTAAACGGGCACCACAACCGTCGTTTCTAAATAAAACATTCGACTCTCGTTCACGACCTCTGCACCCCTTGCTATCCCCGCCGTTGCTCGAAATTGTACCGGGGGATCGCAACAATTTTCCACTTTCTTTTTTCCAGCCATGCGACGTGCGCATTCCCGTAAACCCCATTAACCCGGGCCGAGAAGTTCCGTGGCCGACTTGAACCCGGTTCTTCTCCCTCTCTAGTGTGTATACTCGCCATTAAACGGAAATTTTTTCGGTGATAACGCGGTTTTTTAGGCGTGGTCCGCGAGGGGCTGTTTGAAAATTAACCGAGCGAGTATTTTTAATTACATTTACATTAGCGGGTGGAGAAGCGAAGAAAGGCGGCTCCTGGCGAATGGTAGCCGACCACCGTGGGACTCTAACTTATACCACTAAGTACGAGCGGCTCAAGAGTCTCGCCGACAAGGTATCTCGAAAGCCAAAAGCGGTTTCTGTGAAGAGAGAACGCTTAAACTGCGTGTATTCACGTTCGTGTCATGCGAACCTCGATGATCCACAATGCCGTCTGAATCTCTTTCCTTTCGAAAGGAATTTTCCTAACGAGAGGATTTTCCAAAAGAAACATCGCTTTTTACGCGTTTCGTTTAATTACACGGCGTTCTTCGGAGGGTTGTTTCCTGGCTAAGCATGGCACTACTCTGGTCCTCGTACGCTGAGAAATAATATGGAAGAATATTGTAATAACAAAGTAAATTTCAGATTGTTATTAAATACATCAATATTGTTCGGACTCATAAATCGCCGTACAACAATCTGTCGAGCCTTCAGCTTAGCTGAAACCGTGCTAATTTCATTTATGTGCCTAAAATTCAAACGCCCGGATTATACCATACAAATTTTAAAACGTTTCCGCTACACTCATAAAAATCACCGGAAAACACAGTCATAAACCTTCCTCATTACCGTACGCATCACCCACAGTTCATCCCTGTCCCCAAACCTTCTCACTTGCACCTTTCTTTTCCACCACCATACGCCTCACTCTCAGGTCATCCTGTTCCTCAAACCGTCTCACTCTCACCTTTCCTTCCACCACCCTTCTTACTTTTCACTTCCAGTCACCCCTACTCTCCACCCACTTAGTTACCTCCTCGAATATGTCCTTATAAGGAAACAACCACGACTAAAGACCAATCACACATCAGCCACACCCACACTTTCCATGATATCTTGGCATTTCTCGTCGACAAGAAACACATCCTCTTGACTGGAGACTTTGAGGAAGTTGTGAGGAAGAGGAAGGAGATGCTCACCAGCACTCAAAGAGTACACACACCACACACAATCATTTTCTATCAAACATCATTTCAACTTGTGAATACATTAGTTTAATAACCGTGTACTGGATTGTTTTTCCATCACCACACCTCGAATTAAACGAGCCCTCATTAAGTTGCCGTGAGCGCGAAATAAACCCTCTTGACTGGAGACTTTGGAGAAGTTGTGAGGAAGAGGAAGGAGATGCTCACCAGCACTCAAAGAGTACACACACCACACACAATCATTTTCTAACAGACATCATTTCAACTTGTGAATACATTAGTTTAATAACCGTGTACTGGATTATTTTTCCATCACCACACCTAGAATTAAACGAGCCCTCTCGTCATTAAGTTGCCGTGAGCGCAACGATCATCGCGGTCTTGATTTGATCAAATTTATTTCAAGTCAGTTAGTGTCGTACAAATATTTTTATCCGAAATATTTGAATCTCCAACGATCTACGCGTCTCAACCGTCCTCTATCATTCCTCTACGGATCAATAACAACGACGTAACGTACCATCTAACAGTACTTACCCCATCCTATCCCTGAACCACCCCGAACCCCACGTAAAAATTATCATCCGTTCTCGATTTCGTTTCGATTATAGCGACGTCGCCAAATAAAGTCTCGTGGAAAGGGCCGTTCTCTCGAGTGTTCCGTGCTCGGTGTACATCGGACAGAGCAAGCAACACAAATCCACCCCCTGTATACACGTTCATGTTCGAACGATGTTACTTCGTGGGTGTGCGTGGTGGGTCTTAGCTCACTTTTATTGTCGGAAGCCGAACTGGAGCGCAAGAGTCTACCCCGTGTCCTACTCC